ACATAAGACATTTGATCTAAGACACCCCGTTACGCCACCCCCCTCCCCTCCCCTCTCCCCCGCCCCGGCTCTGACTTTTGTCCTCATTTGGACACCACAGTGTTTACTTGTTAGGTTATGTTTTGAAATGTGAAGGTCCAAATAAAAGGAAAAACTTGAGGAAAAAAAAATGTTTTCTCTATTTCCCTTCTATAGAATTGGAATAATGAGTTTCCTTCTCTTCCCTTCTAAAGTTTTCCATTAATATTGTGTATATCTCTGTTTAGAATCCAAACTAAATGCTGGTTTGTCAAAGTTAAGACAAAAAGGAAGTCATGTTTTGGGATGCACAATTAGAGTGAGAGTGAGCAGAATTAGAGTTGAGACTTTATTGTGTTGTTTGTAAGTACATGTACCTGATGAACTGTTACCAGTTTCTCTGTGCTGGGCAATTAAATCGGACTCTCGAGGGGTTATAGTCCATCATTACTAGTTTCCCAAAGTGATTCTGATGTCGAAAACCACCTTGTTTTAAAAAATGCGTCCTGCCACCCTGTCTTCTGTTATTCTTCTCACCTGTTCAGGGCTTGTCCCGTCCCCGCCTCTCCCCACCTGATGATGTCCCCCAGGCCCCTGGTTCCTTCACCCACTCCTTCACCTTCTGCTTCCATCGTTCAGGCCTCCTGAGCCCTGGAGGATGAGCTGTGTGGAGGGGTAACTGGCCTTCACTTACTTTGTTTCTGTCCCCTGTGCATGCTTCCAGTCAGCCTGATGTTTAGGGACTCAGCAGTCTGCCTGGGCACCCTGAAATACTTTGCCTTAAAGTGTGCTGACCACTGAGATTGGCATAATACTTAACAAATGTATTTGCTGTGTTTAAAGCAGTGTTGTAAGACCTTTACAAATATTAATTCATGTGGGGAAACTGAGACACAGAGGTGAAGAAACCTGCCCAAGGTCACCTGGCTAGTAAATATAGACCTGGGATTTGAACCCGGGTAGTCTGTGCTCTGAACCACCACACTGGGATAGGGGAAGGGGAGAAGAGCTGGGGCTGGGCAAAGTTTTACCTTTGACTACATTGGGGGACTTTTGGCTTGTATGTTGGAGGATTTTCTCAGGTTCTGACCCTGACCTTTTACTATTACTATTACCTAAACTTTAACATTTCCCTTCAGGCCTGTTAAAGACATCTTATTTTCCCGCTGCCCTTAGGTGGTGTTTGGAAACTAGTCCACGCACCTAGGTAGGTGATACTCCCTTCTCCATAGCTCTGTACTCCCAGCAGCGCTCACCACACCCTTGTTTTGAGGCCCTCACCGAGGTATGATGTCTAGGCTTACCTGAGCTGGCCTCGAAGAGCTGAGAATGTGGATACAAGTGATTTTGTTAATGTTCCTTGGTAGTTATGCTTTTTAAAATTGTGATAAAATATGCATAACAAAATTGACATTTTAGCCATTTTGAAGTGTACTGTTCAGTGGCATTAAGTGCATTCACAGCTGGAGTACAGCCATTACCACTGTCCATCTCCAGAACTTTTTCATTGTCTCAAACAAATTTGGCACCCCTTAAACACTAACTCTCTGTCCTGTCTCCCCAGCCCCAGGTAACCACTGGTTCTGCTTTCTGTCTCTATGAATTTGACTATTCTGGGACCTCATCTAAGTGAGTGAGGTATTTTTGTGTCCAACTTATTTCACTTAGCATAGTGTCTTTGGGTTCATGCATGTGGTGGCATGTGTCAGAACTTCATTCCCTTTTGAGGCTGAGCAATACTCTGTTGTGTATTTATATCACATTTTGTTCATCTATCTGTTGGACACTCGGGTCGCCTTCATCTGTTGGATATTATGAACATGGGTGTACAGTGACTTCTTGAGACCCTGGTTTCAGTGCTTTTGGGTTTATACCCAGAAGTGGAGTTGCTAGATCATATGGTAATTCTATGTTTGATTTTCTTTAGAGACTGCCGTTCTGTTTGCCATAGTGGCTGCATCATTTTACATTTCCACGAGCAGCGTAAAAGAATTCCAGTTTCTTCACATCCTCACCAACACTTGTCATTTTCTTTTTACAGCCACCCTAATGGGTGTGACTTTGGTGGTTATCTAGTTGGACCCACGGAGTCCACTGACCAAGGGTCTGGTTCCTAGTTTGCTGAAATGTACAAATGTAGAGAAAATAATGATAGACCTCCATGTACTCCTCACCCAGACCCAGCAGTCATCGATTCATGGCCAATCCTGCTTCATTTCTAAATGCCCTTCCTGCTCTCCTCCTCTTCCTTTGTGTCGATTTGAGGCAAATCCCAGACGTCACATTTATTTTATCTATGAACATTTCACCATGTGTCTTAAAAAGATAAGGACTTTTATTCCATTTCATCTGATGGCAAAAGGGCACATAGGGATGTTTCTTTGGACACGTTATCTCCCTGTTACCCCCTCGGGTCACCGGGACAGACAGTGTGGCGCATGTGTGGTCACCTGGGTGTTGCTAGACTGGGTTGTTGGAGAAACGCTGCCTTGGCGGTGCCCACCTTCCTGCAGGAGGCTGACGCCCTCAGGCCTGAGTCGCCCTGGGGGACAAGCCCGCCCTGGTCTCTGTTGAGAGGGGAAGGAGGGGGGTGAGGAGGAGGGACGCGAGAGAGTTATCTGAGGGCACACTGAGGTGCCCCGAGACCGCCAGTATTCCTTGTGTGCCGTCCTTCCCCAGACCGTTCAATTTTGGGGTCTTTGGGACTGCGGTTTGCTTGCGGTAGGTGAGACTCAGCTACGCAACGCATGGGTACCAGAGATGGGGAAAGAGCGAGCCCGGGGCATGGCCGTTTTTCCTTCCTGGAGCTCTTTTGTTCAGGGAGTAGAGGCTTGGTTCCCAGCAGGTCTGGGGTTACTGGCTTCTTGCTTAAATGTGGGAGTCCCTGCGACCAAGAGATGATGCTCTTACAGGGCTCCTGGGGGGACTCCTGGGGGATGGTGTGTGAACAGGAGTCCTGCCTCCCTTTCTCTCAGTTCCTGGGTCCTGTTCCCTTCCAAGAAAGGGCAGTGCCCAGTTAGTGCTGAGATTTTCCTGAAAGGAAGGAAAGGCAGAGGGGGTACAGGTGACAAAGGGTCGGCTTTCTGTCCGTTCTCAGCTCTGTTTTGACTTTGTTGCCTATACCGATTTCCACTTGTGTCATCAGGACGGTCCTGCATGATCCCAGGGCATTCCAGGTCTACCCACCTTTATTTTTTTCTTTTTCTTTAAAACAAAAGGGGGGGCTTTATTGCGAAATATAATCACGTGGCATACGGTTCACCTATTTAAAGTACGCTGTTCAGTAGGTCTTAGTATCTTCGCAGACTTGCATCCCCTTTTCTTAAGACTCTAGACTACTTTGTGCCCTCCTCTTCCCTGTGGCTCTTAGAGCCAGCCTTCCCCCCACCGCTGGCATCACACTGACCCCCGTCCTCAGGACAGATGACCTTTTTGTGTGGACACTGGCCAGTAGGCACTTTGAACTGATAAAATATTTACCTTTCTCCCCGCGGTAGGAGCCCAGGATTCACAGACACGTGCTGCTTCAGGCAGACCCCTTCCCACTGGCAAGGTCCCATCACCACTCAAGGTCTGTCTGTTTACAAAAAGTTGTAAAAAGTGGAACACGAATAATGTTACAGATTTACCGATTGCTTGACTGGTAATAAACCTGCCTTGGAATCTGTGACTGTTCTTGAACAATCTTAGTTCTGGGCAGAAAGCCTGTCAGGTCACTCCGCCTTTGTACTGGTGGGTTACCTCCCAGCAAACACTTTGGAGCTTAAACACAGACAGTGAAGAAATTGAATAATGTGTCGGGCGGTGGTAGGGGCTGAGAAAAGCAAAGAGGGCTAAAAGGGCAGAGATGGATGGCCAGAGTGGATACTTAGATACGCTGGCCATAGAAGGCGCCTGGCAAAGTCATATTTGAGTAAAGGCCTGAAGGAAGTGGGGAGTGAGTCCACAGAGATCTGTGGGAAGAACTTGCCAAGCAGAGGGCACGGTAAATGGGAAGGTCTGAGCAGGAGCATGTCCAGCATGCTTGGTGAGCAGTAAGCAGGTACCTGCGGGCCTGGGTCAGCCCGGGTGGCAGAGAGGTGTGGGAGACGGGACAGCCTGATCCTTCTACCCGTGAGCGGTGGGACCATGTTGAAGCTTTGAGAAGGGGTGGGCTGTGATCTGATGGGCGTTTGAAAGCAGCCCTCCGGCCGCTGAGCGCGGGCGGGAGAGGCAAGTGGGGGTGCAAGGAGAGCAGCAGGCATCAGTAGCGACTCGGGAGAGGGTGTTGGCTAAAGGCCAGGGAAATGGTTGAATGTGGGTGTACCTTGAAGGTGGAGTTGACAGGATTTGCTTATGGATTGGATGAAGGGTGTGAAGGAAAGACAGGACTCAAGCACGCCAAGGTCTGGCCTAAGCAACTGGAGGGATGGAGTCGACGTTCATTGAAACGAGGAAGACTGTAGGAAGAAATCAGGAGCTACATTGATTTGGACGTGCTAGGCTTGAAATGCCTGTCCAAACCTAGTTTAATTAATTGGGGATACCAATTAATTAATTTAGGGAGTGCCTAATGAGGGCAGAAAACCTCTGAAATGGCAGAGAGCCTCTACTGGAGTGGCTGCAGTGGAGGCAGAGAGTGGGCCGCAAGGAGGGGCCAGGCAGCTCCCAGCGAGGACAGGGAGCCCCTAGGAAGCCAGTGGCTTACACAGGTGTGGCAGCTGTGCCTTCGGCATGTCCGGGAGGGCACGTGAGAGCAGGCCTGGCCTTTCATCTGTGTCCTCAGTGCTAGATGAATGTTGGCCTTCAGTGAATGTTTGATGGATGAACTTCCCATGTCAGCTGTAATATGAAGAGTTTGGACTAGTCCAGTACCCTGGAATCAAGTGAGAAGCTTAAAAAAAAAATCTGGTGATCCATCCCAGACTACTAAGTCGGAATTCCCATAGTGGGAGCTTGGGCTTCTGCAGTTTGAAGTCACTTCCCATGTTATTCTTTTGCAGCCAGTCCAGCAGCAGTCTGCAGACGGGCACTGGGAAGCCACTGGACCACATCCTTTCTGAGGTCCCCTTCAGCTCTAACATCCTGTGAGTCTTGTCAGAATACTTGCCATGCAATCTCTTCCTGGGAATGGGAATTTTGGTGGGTGGGTGGGTCTGGAGGGAGAGAGGAGAGGAGAAGCTGCCTTGGGTGAAGGGCACCTTGGGCAAGGCAAGCAGGGCAGGTGCCTCAGCCAGGACCTTGGAGAGGTTCTGGGCCACAGGAGCACTGCTGGTTCACCTGCCACTGGGAGCCGGTGTGCTAGGTCCTGAGAAGAGAAGGGAAAGGACTTGGGGAGAAGCTCGCAGACTAATGAGAAAAGCCCACTACGGGAAGTGCTGCCTCGGGAGGAGGGAGGAGGAGGGGGCAGAGGAGGGCACTGCGGCGCTCAGGCGAGGCATCCTGGAGCAGAAGCTCAGGCGAGGAGGCGCCTTCAGGCACAGTTGTTTTGGGGCCAGTGGCGTGGAGTATCAGATACTCTGCTCTAGTCAGGAGGACAGCTCCAGCCCTGACAGAGGCCTGAGAGGGTCTGGGACAAGCACGGGTCGGGGAAGGGCACTGTGGGAGATGGCTGGAGAGGTGGGCAGAGGCCGGATGGGGATGGCTTTGCCATTCTCGGCAGAGAGTTTGAGCTGCATCCTGAAGGTACAGGGATTTTGAAGGGGGGGCGTTTCTGTGATCGGATATGTGTTTTACAGCACCTCTGTAGCAAATTGTGTGCTGGAGGGGTAGAGACTAGAGGAAGGAAGGGCCAGGTGTCTAGTGGTGTCATTTGGCCTGGGTCCCCTGGGGTGCCTGACTTCTTGTACTGCTGAGACTCTCTTAGACTGTCTTCTGCTAGATTAAATTAGAATACCAGGTACCTCACAAAATGAAACATTGGCCGCTGACTGACTCAGAACATCTGTGACTTCGGGTCAGTTAGGCCTTGTATTCAGGAGAGTAATGATGTGTACATGTTTGCTCATCATTTTAGGTGTTAAGGTTTATGTACAAATCTGATACTTCTAGATTAATTTGCTAATGCAGCCTAGCCTATTCAAGAACTCAAGATCCTTCAAGTTAGTTTAATTTTACACATTAAAATTCCACCAAGGTGTCTAAGATCTTCATGCAGGTGATAGGTGACAGACAGCATAGGGGTGAAGGCCAGTTCTGGTGGTCATAATTTCTTAGTCTTTTAGTTCTACCATTCCCTGTCTGGGGCTCTATTCTGAGTCCAGTAATGTGGGGTTCTTTCTGCTTTCCTTTGATCCAGCTACAGTTTCACTGAATTCCCTTCTCTGCCACCTAGGGAAGTAATGGTTTCTGATCAGTGTTGTAGCCAGAGTCCAGACAGAAGCTCCTGCAGGTCACGGGGGCAGCTGCTCGGTCGCATGCTTGCCTTCTCTCTCTCCCCTTGCCTGGCTTCCACTCCTGGATCAGAAGACATTCCCCGTCCTGGCAGCCGACTCGAGCACTTTCTCCTGGTCTCTGTTCTGCTAAGTGATCTCTCTCTCTCTGTATCATCCAGCTTGAGTTATTCTTTACCACTCTTGGAATGCTCCTTTTAATTAAAATAGAAAGCTGAGGGTAACTTTCATTTACCCATTTTAAACCTCTAACATTGCAACAGTAATCGAACACGTGTTGTATCCATATGTAAACCATAGTCAGGCATATGCAGGAGCTTAAAGAGTTCACCGCCAGGTTGTGAAAGCACATACCCAGATCCCTCTTCTAGTCCTCATCTAGCAGACAATGGTAAATTTAAGGAAACTTAATTTGGCTGTGTTACAGTCCAGTGTCCCTTAAATCATGCTGCCTTTAACTTGCACTGTAAAATCTGTAATTTTTGCTTCCTTGTCTCATTAAACAGAGTATACTGAATAAAGATCAGATATTTCTTAATGCTTTTGGAGTGCCTCTGCCCCCTTGAACCAAATTTAAATACTGTTAAGAAAAACAGATGACTAAGTTTAATATTTTTGAAATTCAAAGGCTTTGATGTCGAGAGAAAGAAACTCATAGTTTTAGTGGCAATTCCTTGTTCTTAGTTCCTCAGAGCCTTTTTGTTTTGTTTTGTTTTGTTTTCATTCTTAGATTTGAGTAAATATGAATGTTACTACATACATATCTATGTTCCCTGTAACTTTGGTATATTTTATGACTAATGGATAAAGTCACCTTTTATTTGTCTAAATCTTTTGTTTCAAACTTCAGAATGCTGCCCTCTCCTGTCCAGTATTTTAAGTTTGGTGAACAAACCTGTATTTCAGTTATGTCCCCACCTTTCCCCTTAATCTTCCGTCTCTGCTGAATAATATAGAGATCTAATTTTTAGGCTGTCATGACAAAGCTCTTCCACCTGTGGACCTCTCTGATTCGGGTCTGTCTGTCTGCAGGCATGGGGACCAAAACTGCCTGGCACTTGGGCTGTCACACAGGGTGTTTTTGAATAAGGGCAGGATCACAAATATTTCTGTTTCCAGTATCCTTTCTGACAATGCCTAGTGTTTTCTGGACTTGTTGTGATGAAACATGCAATGTAGGGTCTTAAGGGAACAGCCTAAGCTGATGTCCAAGCCTTTTTATTGAACCGTTTAGCTTCTAAGCCATTATTCTAAAAGTATAATTGGAATTGCTTCTCCCTAAAATGGTCTTCACGTTTGCCGTCACTGATGATCCTTTGCCGTAATTTCACCTGTTCATGCAGCCTCATGAGAACTTCTTGTCTTTTAAGTTTGCATTTTGATGTCTGTAAGAGCTCTAAGGACATTTGTAATCATTGCTTCAGTTAACACTTGTCGGTACCCAGTGGAGGACACAGGGTGAGTGGCGCCCGTAAGCCTCCTCCCTCGTGAAGCTGGTGCCTGATTAATGTTCTTCTGCTGGATCGTCGGTTCCCAAAGCACTGTGGCAATGAGACCTCCTCTGTAAGTTAGTCTGCATGGGCCCTGATGTAGTGATGGTGTCTTTGATGGCCGGTCATTGGGAACGCATGTGGATATAAGGTTGAGTCATCTTATGGGTTGGAAAGGTCCATTCTAGGTATTTTATGAAAGCCTTAAACTCCAGTCCAGGACTGGTCAGTGGTTCCCCATATTCATTCACATACATTCACTCAAGTTCTGTGAATTCAATCTTTTAAAACTGTTTTTTGGTGAAATTTTGGCATTTAAAGTTTATGGAAATTCTGCCTACTAGTTTCTCTGTAATCATACTATTTTTACCCCTCAAAGAATTCTGATAGGCTAATTAGGCCTGATGAGGCCCTTTTACAAATAAAGTGTTATTCCCTCTTATCCAGTTGACATGTTTATTACATGTTTGGTAAAATTTCTTAGGCAAGTAATAGACCCTGTAATAAAAAATGGGAATTTATATTTACTTTTTTTTAGTTTCCAGATCTTCCCTGAGGAGAAACTTATAGCATAAAGGATATAGCATCAATCTGCCAGTCCTGGAGTTGCCTTCGCCCTCCGAGGGGGTCACACACACTGTAGCATGGTTCCTCCGTCTCACCCTTGAATGAAATTCGCTCTTAGCCTGAACCACAGAGAACCAGTGAGCCCTCGGCCTGCCTTGCCTGTTGGCCAGGCCCCTCTGACGCCAGGAGAGCTCGCGCGCCTGGGTCTGGCCTGTCCAGATGCCTCAGGCTGAGCCCTGCTTCGTGCTCTGCAGGGGGGGCCCTGGGTCCTGGCTGGTATTCTGGGCATGGGGCAGACGCCACCCCCAGGCTCCAGCCCTGAGAGCTGTTGCCAGCCAGCTGGGCAGCTGTGTGTCGTTTGCTCTTCCTAATTTACGACAGGTTATGCACACTAGTGTATGCTGAAGATTTTCACTCTGACTGCACTTTTATTTTAATTTCTTCACTGATTTCTAGCTGGCTGTCTCCTGCTGAGTCATGCCAGATGGGCTTTTGGAATTTTAATGATTTTCAGAGTTCTCTTGTAAGAGACTCTCAAATTTTTTGACCTGCCTGATTTTTTCTTTTTTTTGTATATTAAAAATATAATTTGGTAAGGCAATATGAGAAATACAGTTTGAAATAAATAGTTTGAATAAATAATTTGAAAATGCAGAGAGATAAAAGAAAGAAAATAATTTCACTATCTGTTAAGATACTTAAGATTTTGGAGTATTCTTCTAGCCTTTTTCACAAAAACTATGTTTTAATTTTTTGTTTTAAATGGAGATTGTACTGTATATACATTTCAGTATTTTTTCGTCAGTTTATAATAGAAGCATTTCTCATAGCCTTAAATATTGATCTGTAATGATATCTACTGTTCATTTGTGTTAATATACCATAATTTATTGAACCAGTTTCCTATTAATAAACACATTAAACTTGTGTTTAATTTTTTATTATAAAACAATTTTGTTAAATTATTTTTTAATGATTATCTTTGTCATGTGCATCTCTATTTCCTTAGGATACATTTCCGAAAGTGGAATTACGAGGCCTTATTTATGCATTGCTAAATTGCTCCTAGGGAGACAGGTTATTTTGCCACATCTCTGCCAACACTGGGAATTACTATTTTTTGAAAACCTTGGTCAATTTGATAAGCTAAAAGTGGTTTTCTCATTTTAATTTGTATTTCTCTAATTTCTTGTGAGGTGGCACCTTTTTAAATGTGTTGTCCAGTTGTATCTCTTTTTTAAATTGCCCGTGCATCACCTTTGCTCATTTTTCTAATGGGTTATTTGTAGCTTTGTGGGTGCCTTTTATGTATTAATGAAGATATTAATGATAGTAACTATGTTGTAAATACTCCTTTTGGTTTGTTGTTTGCATTTTAACTTTGTGCTGGCAGTTTTTGATGACTAGAACTTTTTATTGGTAGTGTTTTTCTTCCGTGTACTCCCCATGCTTTTATAACAGATATATTTTTCTTAATTACTAATTTGTACTTAGGAACAATGTGATACTTACTTTAGGGCAAGGCTTAAAGGAATACAAACACTTGGGTACACCGTGAGCTCTTAATCGCTGTTGATGATTGCTAGGATTGCTGCTGTTTTGGGTTTTCCTTACTAGGGACAAATAGAAAACAAGACTTGATCTTTGGCTTTTAAAAGCGTAAGCTTTGGTATTTAGAATCCAAAGATTACAAAGCCCTTTTCTGCTGTCACTTTTGAGCTGCCTGCCATACCATTTACTAGCTCTGATTTTCCTTGCAAACTATACCTTACCTCACCTCTGACCATTCTCAGCCAATCCCCGAGATTTCTCTGTGTGGAGAAGATTCCTTCCTTCTGATGTTCTGTCACTGCTACAAGCTGCTGTGACTTGGAGTTAGACAATAGTAGGCTCCCCCCAACTAATCCTTGCAGAAACTGCCAACTACTGCCCCTCCTCCCCCACACGCTCTTCCCAGCTCCTTAAAAAGGCTAATCTATATTACCCTTCTCCCCTACTTTTTTTCCTAGAGAGTTAAAAAAAAACAAAAAGGGAGGGGGGAATAATATTATACAGCAGCTATCACACAGGCTTTCCCTATAGTTGGTATCTGCCACATAGTGGCTCTGGGTGATGGCAGGCCCGGTGCACTCCCCTTGCCTCTGGGCTCCAGCACGTCTGTTCCAGGAGGCAGGCAATTTGTTGCCTTGAAACTTCACACCTCGTTTCAGTGGGATATTCTGCCAACCCATATTTAGTTTAGATAATTGGTCTTTCAGTCAGTTATTATCCGTCATAATTGGATACCTTCCCAGTGAGATGGGGCCAGAACTCTCAAGCAGGCAGATGTGTCTGGTCGGGGGCTGGCAGAGGGCAAGAAAGCAAGCCCTTGGACCTGTCGGTCCCGAGGGCGCTTGCAGGTGCCTCGGCCATGCCGCCCACTCCTCTGTGGCTCCAGGTGTTTGATTTTTTTTCTTTTTAAAATTATAAAATCAATCCATCAGCCCAAAAAGAGTTTTGAAAAGTATAATCCACCAGTAATCCCACCACCCTGTGTAATTATTTTTCTCTGTTTTTTAAAATCTTGGCTCAAATGCATACTTAGTTTTACATTGTTATAGTTTGATAACAGATTTGTGTGTGTTTTTTTTTTTGACTTAACCCTATAAGTAATATTCCATGTTGCTATTGTAGAGTTTAAAATTAGGATTTTTAATGACTGTATAACAGTCCATCAGTTATTTAACCAGTCCCTGCTCTTAGACCTTTAGGTTCTTTCTCTGTATGTCTCTCCTGTGTTTTGTTTTAATAATGCTGTAAATACTTTTGCATGCAGCTTTTGTGAATTTTTGTTTCTGTCAGTGGGTTCCTAAGACCCAAGGATTTGCCGCTTACCTGGGTCTCTGTGGCTCTAGTACTGCTTCCTGAAAGAGTTGTGTTACTCTGCACCCGGAATGGTTTTCAGTATAAACATGGTGTAAGAAATATGTAAGCAAGTAAGGCTCTGAGATGCTGAAGCAGATGGAGGATTTATGGGCCGAACAAGAGAGGTAGTGGGGTTTTTCTTCCTCTTTGCAGCAGATTTGAGCCAGCCAGCCAGCTTCATGTTTCCTCCAAGTGTGAGTGTTATAATAATTCCTCTTTCCTAAGGGCCTGGGGTTTCCTCTGTTGCAGTAGTTAACGTAGTCTGCTTCTCCTGAAGGAAATGTACATTTCCTTTTCTTTGTGTAGTAAGATAAAGTTTAGGGCTTCCCCCAAATTGTTTCCTGTCCAATTTGATAACTGTGGTCCTTTGCGAGTCACCCCTGCCCCTCAGGTTTAGTGATCCATTCATCAACCAATAACAGTTTTAGGGTGAAAATTAAGAAATCAAGCAGATGCTGACTAGAGAAAAAAAAATACCCAAGGGATGGTATAATTTGCTAGAGTTTATTTATGAGACAGCTAGTATAAATCCTGACAATAGCAAATCATTTTGGATTTGACTGAATTCATGCAGCAAAAAAAGTAATAAGAAGTTAGTGATTAATTAGAGTGAATTAGCAGAAGGTATAGCCAAGTCTCCTATGAATCAGAAGTTTTCTAAAAAAAGAGGAAAAGAGGTGCTGAGCCATGCTTTTCTTTTTTTTAAGGGCTGAGTGAGTGGTTTTTTGCTAGTGTGCACGGTCGGGGGGATGCCGGTCCCTGAGAGCTGAGGGAGTGTGCACTCTCTGGGTAGCGGCCACCCAGGAATTCCCAGATACTGATGTTCAGGGCTTGCCAGGCAGCCTTGTCACTGCACATAAACTTCTCTTTCCACCCCTGCCACAGCGTCCCCAGCATCCTGGAAACCTGTTGGGGTAAAACAGGCGTGTGACTCCCCAGAGTATGGGGCTTTGTGCATGTGTGTGCTGGCTGCGTGTGAGTGAGCGTGATGGGCGTGGGATGCCGCTGGACAGAGTCCAGCGGGCCTTGCCGACCACTGATCCTGTGCTCCGCTCCTGTTGCAGCCCTCGCCGGCATCCAGCCATGGGGGACATGAAGACTCCAGATTTTGATGACCTTCTGGCTGCCTTTGACATCCCAGACCCCACCAGCCTTGATGCCAAGGAGGCCATCCAGACCCCCAGTGAGGAGAATGAGAGCCCTCTCAAGCCTCCAGTCATGTGTGTGGAAGAGAACGTGTCCTTGTCTCACTCAGCATCAGCCTCAGATGCCCCGGCCGTGAGTGTCATTGTCAAGAACACCAGCCGCCAGGAGTCGTTTGAAACGGAGAAAGACCACATTGCTCCTAGCCTCCTACACAATGGATTCCGGGGCTCAGACCTGCCCCCAGATCCTCACAACCTGGCCCACGACTGTGGGAAGTTCGATTCCACTTTCATGAATGGAGACAGTGCCAGGAATTTCCCTGGCAAGCTGGAACCTTCCAAATCAGAGCCATTGCCAACCTTTAACCAGTTCAGTCCAATCTCCAGCCCAGAGTCTGAGGATGCCATCAAAGATAATGGGTTTGGGATGAAGCCCAAGCACTCTGATAGTTATTTTCCACCGCCTCCCGGGTGTGGGCCTGTGGGGGGCCCAGTCCTGGAGGCTCTGGCTAAGTTTCCAGTCCCAGAGCTACACATGTTTGATCACTTTTGTAAGAAAGAACCTAAGCTAGAACCCGTGTCCCTGGGGAGTCCGCAGGAGCGCGAACGAGGTGGGAAGACAGTGGCAGAACCGCACACGGAGCTGTTCTTCGGGGAAGCTTTGGAGTTCCACAGCCACCCCAGCAACAGTGTCACAGAGCCTGCGGGGCTGGCCCTGGAGCTTGGCACCTGCTCTGCAGTCCCCCCGAGGCAGCGCCTGAAGCCAGCTCATTCCAAGCTGTCCTCCTGTGTTGCAGCCTTGGTGGCCCTGCAAGCCAAGAGAGTGGCCAGCGTCACCAAGGAGGATCAGTCTGGCCACACAAAGGATTCCTCAGGGCCCGCGAAAGAGGGCTCCAAAGGCAGCCCCAAAATGCCCAAGTCACCAAAGAGTCCCCGGAGCCCCCTGGAGGCTGCTAGGAGAAGCACGAAGGCCCCGGACAGCCCTCGGAGCCTGTGCAGCGACTGCAGCGGCAAAGGCTCGCCCTCTGTGGCAGCCAGCTCCCCGCCAGCCATCCCCAAAGTCAGAATCAAAACCATCAAGACGTCGTCGGGGGAGATCAAACGGACCGTCACGAGGATCCTGCCGGACCCTGACGATCCCAGTAAGTCCCCTGTCGGGTCGCCCCTGGGGAGTGCTGTCGCCGAGGCCCCGGAGGCGCTGGAGGACGAGATCCCTGCCCTGCCTGCGGTGGAGCGCTTCCCCGAGGTGGGCACAGGTTCAGGGAGCCCGCAGGACGACAGGAAAGGGGCCGAGAGCTTGACGAAGGCCGGCAGATCTCCGTCGCCCAGCGGCGGTTCTGGGTCCCGCGCCCCCAAGGGGGCTGCCCTCGGCTCACAGCCGGGCAGGAAGCAGCAGCCCAGCAGAGCGCCACAGGCGTCCGCCCTGGCCCCTGCCAGCCTCCTGCCCAAAGCCGTGCACCTGGCCAACCTGAACCTGGTCCCCCACAGCGTCGCCGCGTCGGTGACAGCCAAGTCCTCGGCGCAGAGGCGTGGCCAGCCGCAGCTCACACAGATGTCCGTGCCTCTGGTTCACCAGGTGAAGAAGGCCGCCCCGCTGGTGGTGGAGGTCTTCCACAAGGTCCTCCACAGCTCCAACCCCGTGCCCCTCTACGCGCCAAACCTCAGCCCGCCTGCGGACAGCAGGATCCACGTGCCGGCCAGTGGGTACTGCTGCCTGGAGTGTGGGGACGCGTTTGCCTTAGAGAAGAGCCTGAGCCAGCACTATGGCCGGCGCAGCGTCCACATCGAGGTGCTGTGCTCGCTCTGCTCCCAGACGCTGCTCTTCTTCAACAAGTGCAGCCTGCTGCGGCACGCCCGCGCCCACAAGAGCAAGGGGCTCGCCATGCAGTGCTCCCAGCTGCTGGTCAAGCCCATCTCTGTGGACCAGATGTTCGTGTCGGCCCCTGCCAGCTCCACGGCCCCAGCAGCTCCTGCGCCCCACCTTTCCCCCAAACACAGCGTCGTGCCAGCCAGTGCCAGCCCAACCCTTCCTGCCTTGCCGCTCTACCCAGACCCTGTGAGGCTCATCCGGCATGGAATCAAGTGTCTCGAGTGTCACAAGCAGATAAGGGATTACGTGGCCATGGCCGCACATTACCAGAGGACGGCAGAGGAGGCCGAGGGGCTGGTAAGCAGAGCTGCCTGGGGTGGGTGCCAGGCCCCTGTTTCCCACAGGCCCATGATGGGCCAGGAGAGAAAAGTTCATTGACGTGGGGGCAGTGGTGGCATCTCAGGAGTCTTAGTGACTTGCCTGAACATACAGGGCTTGGCATTCATTGAGAAAAGTGTCCTGCCCACAAGTGAGCAGAGCCTCTGAGGAATCCGTGAGTGTACTGAGGGGCACGGCCCGTGCTCCAGGGGGCCGTCGGGGCTCACTGTCAGGCCTGGGCTGGGCCCTGCTGGCTGGCACCCTGTGCTCCGACAGGTGACAGTATGTGCCCTGAAAACTGGGGGGGCTCAGGAGGTGTGTCAGTGCCCTGCACCTCAGTCTGTCCTTGTAAGATCCATGTCATTAAAAAGTTGTCTGCCCCACAGCGGACCTGGCAGCTTTTGCAGAGTTCCTGTGGGGAAACTGCAGCAGGGCCCACGCCGGGGCTGATGAGGAGGGAGAGCGGACTGACACGGGGCCCTGGGGCACAGGCTCTTTCCTCTGCTCTTCCCGCTCTAGGAGAGCGCCTGCGCTTACCTGCTTGTCCGATTCTTGGTTATGTGTGATGAGGGCTGAATTTTTTTTTTTTTTTAAGTTGTTCTGTGCTGAAAATACCTTTTGGGGTCCTCTGTGTCAGGGGCTGTCTATACTGGCAAGGTCCTGGGAGTGCCTCCTGACGTGCCTCCTGAAGGCCTCTTCTTCCTGCCCCAGGTGACTCTTCACCACGGAGCCCGGCCCGCCCCCCAGCTGAGCCTCCCTAGGCCAGGGCCACCGAGGCCTGGAAGGAGAACACACAGCTCTTTGCCTCAGTTCAGCAGGGGGCTTTGCACGTGTGTTCTGTGTGCCCACTGTGTGCCAGGCGCAGAGATGCCAGCGGCGGGGAGTCACACTGTTCCTCCAGGGCTCACAGTGGCTTTGTGCGGGCAGGGCTGGCCCGCCCAGCAGCTCCCAGGGGAGGCAGCCTAAGGTAGGGCTCAAAGAGGCTCACCACCTAATGTCGTGGTGTGCCTCAGAGGCCAGGTCACCGGACTCCAGGCATGGGGAGGGTGCTGTGCGGACGGGATGTATGAGCTGGGCCTCGAGGATGAGTTTAGGGGAGCGGGAGGGGCAATGGTGGTCCCAGGCGCAGGGAACAAAGGAGTGTGAAACTGCAAGGTCCATCTGCAGACCGGGCGTTGCTGGGATGAGGCCCGCCTGGGGAGTGTCAGGGCAGAGACAGGAGGTGGGATTTGGGGGCCCAGAGGGGCCTCCAAGGTGCCTCAGAATTGCTGTCGCCTCTCATCTTCTCACCTGTTTCTGTTTGCATCTTCCTGCTGACGAGGCAGGTGGGGTGCGCCCCCACAGGGCCCTTTCCCAGGGGGCTTCAGTTACTGTTACTGGGCCAGGTGATCAGAGCCCTTGCCAGCTGAGGTCTGATGCCCCACACGGTTCCTCACCCACCTTCTAAACTCCGAGCAGGCAGAGGTCTGGGTGTAGCATCCCCGACTGGTACCCTCCTCATCTGGCATCATCTCCACATTGTTCTCCTCTAGGGGGAACTGGCCAGGAGGCTCCCCCCAGATGGGAGGGCCGTCAGGCTTCTCTCAGCCTAGCTTGAATCCTTCACAAAATCTCCCGCCAATAAATTGTGGCCTCAGAGTCTCAGGGCAAGAGTAAGGCCTGAACCTGGGCCGAAGCATGACTTCGATGGCTGTTGGCTTGAGTTCCCCAAGACAACACCCAGGCAGGCTTCAGGCCACATTCAGGATGGGAAGTGAGCAGATGGGGTGGGGTGGGCTCCCCCCTGAGGTGGGGACTGCAGGGCAGCACGCGCGGGCCTGCTGGCTTCTTCCTGGGAGTCCGCCCTGGACCAGCGTGCCTCCTGGCACAGTGGCTGGAGGGTCCCTCTCCTTGCATTCCAAGCCACCCTGTCAGGCAGGGTGTCAGCACAGAGAGAGGATTTCTTCTTCTTCTTAAGCTTCTATTTAACTATAGTGTCACTATCACACCCAACAATTAATAATTCCTTAATATCATTTAATGCAAGTTCATATTCACATTTTTCCTTCAAGTCACAAATTGTGTTTTTGCAGTTGGGCTTGTTTTGAATCAGGATCCAATCATGGAAAACATGTTACGTTTGTTTGTTATATCCTTTAAATTTCTCAATCTAGAACAGTATCTCTTCCCACTCCAACCCATGAGGCCTCCTCTCCCCCGCCTGTCATGTCACTGATATGTTGAAGAAACTGGGTCATGTGTCCTGAGAATTTCCCAGGACAGTTCTGGGTTTGACTGACTGTTTCCTGAGGATTTTCAGCATAATTTTGGGTTTGATGACTCCCTTCTCACGTGATTACTTTGTTCCCTACAGCTGTTTTATCTGTAGACTGGAAGTGATAAAGACTGGCTTCACTCGGGTTCAGTTTTGAGAAGGGAAGTACTGGGCTCTTCACATTCGTGACTTCAGGGAGGCACAGGGCACTTGGTTGTCTCGGTTCTCATGATGTGAACTTGATCAGTGAGCTTACGTGGTGATTTTTGTTTCCTTCATTGTAAAGTTTCCAATCATTTACCTTAATGATTTTAGTATTCGTAAATAATAGCTGCTTACGTCAGTAATTTTATTAGGAGTTGCAAAAGGGTGTTTTTCTAATATTATTTTTTTTCTCATTTATTAGCTGAAATTTGTATAAAATGTCTTTCCCTCTTTCCTGAAGGCTATTTGGTTACCCTAAAATTTAGTTTATGTTGGTAAATGGGATACATACTAATTTGGTTTCCTTAGTTAACGGGTTTTTTTTTGTTACCATTAATCTACACTTACATGAAGAACATTATGTTTACTAGGCTCACCCCTTCACCAAGTCTCCCCCACAAACCCCATTACAGTCATTGTCCATCAGTGCAGCAAGATGCTGTAGAATCACTACTTGTCTTCTCTGTGCACAGTTTTTACAGTAGTGAGTTGATGCCTCAACAGTCTCAAATAGTGTTTGAAGTCTCTCTTCTGTTATTTTTAAATCATGGTAAAATACACCTAACAAAGTTTACCATCTTAACCATTTTTAAATGTATAGTTCAGTAGTGTTAAAGTACATTCACATTGTGCAATCAATCACCATAACTATTCATCTTGCAAAACTGAAAGTCCGCATCCATTACACAGCAACTCCTCATTCCCCTACTCCTCACTGCCCCTGGAAGCCACCCCATTCGACCTTGTCTCTTTGAATTTGACTATTCTGGGGACCTCATACAGTGTTCATCCTTTTGTGACTGATTTATTTCACTTAGCATAATGTCCTCAAGGTTCATACATGTCACAGATTTCTCAGAATTTGCTTCATTTTTAAGGCTGAGTAATATTCCATCATATGTATATACATTTTATTTATCCATCCATTAGTGGGCATGTGGCTTGCTTCCACCTTTTGAGGGTATTTTGAATAATGCTACTATGAACATGATGGCCCTGCTTTTAGTTCTTTTGGATATGTACCCAGAAGTGGGATTGCTGGATCATATGGTAGTTCTATTTTTAATTTTTTGAGGGACCCCCCCCAACCTCAGTTTTCCATAGGGGCTGCACTATTTCACATTCTCACCAGTGCACAAGCATTCTAGTTTCTCCACATCCTCACCAGCACTTTTTTTTTTTTGAGAGTAGCAATTCTAATGGGTGTGAATTGACCTCTGTTACTCTGTTATCCTCTGTTAGTGTTAGAATGACATCATTGAGTTTTATATATTCAATATGTTTATGTATCCCATCTTTTTTTGTTTTTGTTTTTTGGTGCCTTTCTGAGGTGTAAACTCCAGGCATTCTTTGTGATGCTTCAGTCATCCCATCTTTGGTCAGTGGGATCCCCTGCAGGCTGGTCCCCCTGTCCTTTGACACAAACTCATTAATCCTCGGGAAGCTTCCTTACTTTCAGGCCCAGTGAGATGTCCTAGCACACTTATTGGGCTCAGCCTATGTCAGCCATGTTGCCAAGGAGCCAGGTTTCTTTTAGTGAGTTTAGAAACCACATTTTGGGGTCCAGGGATGTGTATTAATACTGGATATATTTTAATGTTTATAGTCTTTTTCAGTGGCTAGAACTAAGATATGTAAATATTTAAAAAGAGGGAAGAAAGCATGAGTTTTTACTGGTATTCAAATGGAAGATTATAGAGTTTTTATATAACTGTTTTTATACTGAAAGTCTTGGTTCCTACTATATAAACATATACGTACACACACAAATTTCAAAATACCAAAATCAATATTATTTCTAACATTAGGACAACTGCATAAGTAGAAGGTATTTTTGCAGTTCTTGCTTTTATACTACATCACGTAAGGATGTACAACTCAAAATTCTGTGTTTTTAAGGTCACTGGGACTAACTCTTTTCTCTGTACGGTTATGTTGCAGTGAGATATAGTGAGATATAGCTGGGTTATTTGTTTCTGTTTTTCAATTTTTAGGGAATGCTTTTGTTTATCTAGCTTAATTTTGTATTACTATTATTTTAAAATTGTGTAAAACATTTATGAGATTCCAAAGTTAAAATTACATAATAAGACATGTTCAGAGACTTCTTGCTTCCATCCCTGTCCCCATCACCCCATTCCATCCTCCTGCATAGGCAACATTGTAATTCACTTTTGGTTTATTTTTTCATTACTCCTTTTTAGGAAATACAAGAAAATCTCTCTCTCTTTATATATATATATATATATGGGTGTGTGTGTGTGTGTGTGTGTGTGTGTGTGTGTATGCTGTGGGGGGGGGAGGGTCACATTCTCACCTTTCTTACACAAAAGGTAGCATACTTATTTACTGTTCTGCACCCAAAGTAATTTAATACTTTAAAAGAACCTTTTTATTATAGGATGTCCCAAACCTATACAAAGGTGGAAAGTATGGTATAATGAACCCTCCTTTAACAGTTACCAACTCATGGCCTGTCATGTTTCATGTATTTTCTTACTCATCCCTCCCTAACGATTTATTATTTTTAAACAAATTGTAGCATTCATTGTATCTAGCGTATTTCAGTATGTATCTCAAATATAAGGTTCCCTCAGTATAGACATATCATTATATCTCAAAATTAATAATTTCTTATTACCAGATCTTAATATCAAGTGTCAAATGTCCTAATATCATCATCCAGTTAGTGTTCAAGTATTTCTGATTATCTCATTTCTTTTTACACTTGGCTTGCTTGGATCAGGATCCAGATAAGTGCTGTGCATTGCAATTGTAGAAAATTTCTCCTACATGTCTTTTACTCTGTTAAGTTCCTCTTCTCTCTCTTTTTCTTTTTTCTTTTTTTTCCTTGCAATTTATTTGTTGAAAAAACTGGGTTGTTACTGCCTGTAGATGCCCCATATTCTGGAATTTGCTGATTAAAGCAGAGATCTTTTCCTGTCCTCCCCAGCAGCTTGTCCCTCTGAGCAGTTCCTCTGGCCCAGGTCAGTGGCCCCTCAGTGAGCACCTCACTTGTACCCTTTGCACCTCGAGGAGCCTCTCCAGATGCAGGTAGCTGCTCCGTCTGTTGCTTTCTCCCATAGGCTGTGGGCTCTGCCCGTGAGAGCGTCAGCAGGTCTGGCTGTGGGGCTTCTCTTCTCCTGCTTCCCTCCTGACTCTGGGAACAAAGCAGCTCCTGCCCTTCTGCCCTTTTCTGTCCATGCAGTCCACTGTGGCTGAGGGCACCTCCCAGAGTAAGCAGGCAGGGCAGAGGGAATGCAGACTGGCAAGATAGCTTGGTCCGTGGGCGTCGGGGACCTCTGAGAAGCAGTCAGGACAGGCTCCGGCCCTAGCCTGCTCTGGGGGTCACTGAACAGCCCGCGAGAGGTGCTGGGGAGGAACCGCCGCTGCCGAGCGAGGCAGAGTCCCTGGTGAGTCTGGCAGTGTACTGAGGTTTTAGAGTTCAAGTTTTTAAGAGTTAGGCCTCTCCGGGGAGGAAAAGCTGGTCCTTTGCTAAAACCAGAGGGAAGAAACACTCAAAATGTAAGAGGCAGGACTAATTTTAGGGAAAATAGGGTCAGGTCTGAGGTGAGAGGCAGAGCTTGCTCGGGTGTGAGTATCAGCCCTTTAAAGGAGGCCTGAGGTGTCCCTAGTATCCAGGAGAGTTGGAAGAGAGAATGGCTCACCAGGAGTCATGCCAACCCATGTCCTAGACAGCTGGGGTGGGCGTGCCGGGCCTGTGGCACCTGCTTGAGCTGCTTTCTTGGTGTTCTTTCCTAGACATGCCAGGTGTGCCAGATGCTGCTGCCCAACCAGTGTAGCTTCTGTGCCCACCAGCGGATCCACGCTCACAAGTCCCCCTACTGCTGCCCGGAGTGTGGAGCCCTCTGTCGCTCTGCCTACTTCCAGACTCATGTAAAGGAGAATTGCCTGCACTATGCCCGCAAGGTGGGCTACAGGTGGGTGCTGCCCGGCTCACTGTCCTGGGGTTGCCCAATGGCTGGTCCTTTTCCTGGGCCAGAACTTGTTTCAGACTGAGCTTTGGACTGAGAGGGCCTGGGCTCCAGCTTAATAAGATAACAACACTGATTGGTATATAGACAGACTTTTTTTTAGTAGAGAGCAAGAAAAGTACGGGGGAGAAAAGGAGTTTAAAAAATTAAACATTATAAAAATAGCTATGAAGAGGAAGGTTTGGGGACATTAGAATATATATAACATTCACTTTGTCCATTTGGTTTTTAAAGGTTGGTTTGCTCACAGAGTTACTGCATTTGGCACATTAAAGTATTGTTAAAATAATACATTTATTAATTTTTGTACTTTCAAATGTTCTCAGTTTCCATTAACAAGTGGAGCTGTAAGGCACCAAACTCAAAGGTCTCTACTCTGTTTATATTGATTAGTTTTCATTAGTTTGTGAGAAACAAGCAAAACGTGAAAATGGAAAAATGACTAGCCTCAGAGTAAAACCAAGAAAACTTATCTTAGACTGAATTCTCCTCCATGTGACAAACATATATAAGCAAGAAGTCATTTTCACAAAAAAGATCAAAATGGGGAAGAAAGCTACCTCCAAAAATCACTGATCCGTGACTTTCACATTGACCCAATCAGGTCTCCTTGGCTGATTTGCTACATTTGGGAGTTTCTACATTTTCTGATGTTGTACTTTGTCACTTTCACTTCTGAAAAGTAATTCTGTTCAAATTTAATAAGGTGTTCTTCTCTTTGGTATTTTAAAACACTTATTGACTTAGTTCATTTAATAACTTTTTTTGAGTGCTTATTATGAGCAACATGCCAGACACTCAATATGCAAAGGTGATTGAGACACAGCACGTGCCCTCAGGGGTCTTCAGTCTGGCAGGTCACAAACATGCCCACAGGTGATTGTAATTCAGAGCGTAAGTCCCAGAGTAGAAGAATGGCAGGAAAGCTTCATGGAGGAGATCTTAGGAGTTTTCTGGCAGAAGAAAGGGAGGGGATGACATCTGGCAAGGGTATGGGCAGGGATACCAGCACACACAAAGGGGGCTGCAGGAATGATGAGCATTTCTGTAGAGGGCCAGCATGAACTGAAGGGAGAGGTGGGGAATGAGACTGAGGACTTGGGAGGGCCAGGCCATGCAGGATCTTGGGCTGCCTGGCGGGCGTGTGGACTTCATCTAGTGGACGGTGAGGAGCTGCCGAAAGATTGCAGCCGGCGAATGATCCGGCTGGATCTGCTTCAGAAGGATCCTCCTGGGGATTGAGGAGATGAGGTACTGGAGACTGGCTGAGAGGCGAGCGTGATGGTCCAGCGGCTGGGGCTGCCGCTGAGGTGCGGCAGGTGCGGGTGGGGAAAGGTGGATTTGAGAGAGACTCAGGAAGCTGAAGCCTTAGGACTCAGTGATAGCTTCTGCCCAGGGGTGTGGGACCGGGAAGGGTTAACGATGATTCCCAGGTTTCTATCTTGGTATAAACATTTCCAAATGTAGACTAATTTCTTTTGCATGTTATGGAGAATGGAGAGTCCAGAGTGCATGAGAAGCAAAATAAACCACAGGCAGGGTTGTACAAAGCCCTTGCCACCGTGTTGCAGAAGAGCATTGCTTTACAGTATCCCAGGCTACACTTTTATTTTGTTCATTTAATTATTTTTACTAAAGTATCATTGATATACAATCTTATGATGATTTCAAGTACACAATACTCATTCCACATTTACCCGTATTATCAACTCATACCCTCCATTGCTGTCACTATCAACATAATAAGATGCTATAGAGTCATTAATTATGTTTTCTGTGCTGTACTACCATCCCCTGACCTGCCTATATTGTGACTGCAAATTATTGTGCCCCTTAATCCCCTGCTCCCTTCTCCCTGAGCTTCCCCCACCCGTCCCCTTTGGTAACCACTAGTCCCTTCTTGGGGTCTGTGATTCTGCTGCTGTTTTGTTCCTTCAGTTTTGCTTTGTTGTTATGCTCCACAGGTGAGTGAAATCATATGGTACTTGTCTTTCTCCACCGGGCTTGTTTCACTGAGCATAATACCCTCTAGATCCATCCATGTTGTTGCAAATGGTAGGATTTCTTTTCTTTTTATGGCTGAATATTCCATTGTGTATATGTACCACATCTTCTTTATCCATTCACCTATTGATGGACACTTAGGTTGCTTCCATATCTTGGCTATTGTAAATAGTGCTTGATAAACATAGGGGTGCATATATCTTTTCAAATCAGGGATCATGTTTTCTTTGGGTAAATTTCTAGTAATGGAATTGCCGGGTCAAATGGTATTTCTATTTTTAGTTTTATGAGGAACCTCATAAAAACCAATTTATATTCCCACCAGCAGTGTAGGAGGGGTTCCCCTTTCTGCACACCCTCACCAGCATTTGTTTGTCTTTTGGATGCTGGCCATCCTAACTGGTGTGAAGTGATATCTCATTGTACTTTTAATTTGCATTTCCCTGATGGTTAATGATGTGGAGCATCTTTTCATGTGTCAGGCTACACTTTTAAACCAGATGCCTGAATGTGTGTTTTTACAGTATCCTGTGATACTTGAAAATACCTGTGTAACTTTGACTGAAATGTGTGCTGCTTGTTCCAAGGTCCAGCCCACCCAATGGAAGTGCAATCAACATTAAGATTTTTATCTTTGAATCTTGAATCCAAGAAATTTTCGATAGCGCAGATGGATTAATAACTTTTAATTAAATATTTTATTTTATTTTTCTTTAAGAGTAATAAGAAATAGTGTCTCAAAAGCAATTCAGTTTATCAAGCTGTTTCATAAGTAATGTCAGGCATAAATATATTGTGATTCAGCTGGAGGAATTACTAAAAATATTGACATTAAATCTTCAATGATTTGTGGTTGAACTCAAAAGACACATCACATCAATAGATTTTTATTACATTTAAGATATTTGACTACTGGTATTTCTTTGTAACAGCTTTATTAATTCACATACCGTACAATTCACCCACTGAAAGTGTACAATTCAATGGTTTTTACTATATTCAGTGTTGTACAATCAGTCACTACAATCAGTTTTAGAACTTTTCTTCACCCAGAAAGGACCCCTATATTCACAATCCTCCCAGCAACTAATTAATTTTCTCATATAATCTCATAGACTTGCCTCTTTTGGTCATTTTGTACAGTAGAATCATATAATATGTCGTCATAGAGCAGTGCTGTCAGTACTCACCCGCACTGCAGTGTGTACCGACACTCCGCCCCTTGTGTGGCCGCGCGGGACCCCGCTGCGTGCATGTGCTGTGTTTTGTCTCTCTGTCCCTCAGTCGGTGGGCATGGGGGTTGTTGCTGCCCTTTGGCCGTCACAAGCAATGCCCTAGTGAGGATCCACGTGCAAGTTACTGAGTGGCACGTGTTTTCAGTGCTTCTGGATGTACACCTAGGAGGAGAATAGGTAGGTCAAGTGGTAACTCTTTAACTTTTTGAGGAACTGCCAGGCTGTTTTCCAAAGTGGTTGTACCATTTTTAAATTCCCACTGCAATGTATGAGAGTTTTTATTTCTCTAATCCTTAACAACATTTTATTATAGCCATCCTTACGGGTGTAAAGTGGTATCTCATTATGTTTTTGACCTAAATTTCCATGATGGCTTATGGTGTTGAACGTCTTGTGATATGCTTTTTTGGATATATGTGTATCTTCTTTAGAGGAATGTCTATTCAGATCCTTTTGCGAATATTTTTTTCCCATTCTGTAGGTAATATAGTAAATTCTCAAAAGGTACCTGTGTTCCATTTCATTGAACTCTACTACAGTTTTACAATATTACTTTGTTTTGTATAATTTGTTTTCTTGAAGACAGTGTGATAAGCCTATACATTTTATATGTATTTTATATAATGTTATGTTATGTATTTATATAAATATACATGTAATATACAATATGTATATTTTTAGAATTGTATAAATTATTCTGCTCCTTGTTCATAATTTGGAGAGTGGCCAATGATGTCATAAGGGAGCAAGTTTAGACTTTTTAATAATATATTTTCTTATTATTTGTGATTATTAGCAAAATTAAATATTTTACTGCTCTTTATCTTTTATGAAACTTTTATGTTTCACAGCATGTGATTCTGTAATTGTGTTTTCCCTTTCTAAAAAAATTGGTGGAATCGTATCATGGGGTTGGATTTCTTCTCTTCTGCACACTTTCTCATCAATTTGTAAACCGTGTTTGATTCAGTCGTTTACTGAGGCTGTGTGGCATGTTCTTTTACTCCTTTATTGTCCTTATTTTCAATGTTTTTTTTTTTTTGAAGAACCTCATGTTTGAAGAGTATACTCATGTTGTTCCTGCAGGAGCTTGGGCTAGCTGCACAAATAAGGCCTCTTGGGTTCCTTACACATATCAGGTTTACTTGGTCACTTTGGATACATCTGTAAATAAGTAGATTTCTTTCTGCTTATAAAACCTTCTGCTATGGAAATACAGTTGACCTCAAACAAAATGCTGTTGGAGCCACCCATGTAATTGAAAATCCACATACAACTTTTGACTCCCCTAAAACTTACTACTAATAGCCTACTATAGACCAGAAACCTTACCATAACATAAACAATCGGGTAACACATATTTTGTATGTTTTATGTATTTAGTAGTGTATTCTTAAAATAACTTCGAAAAATGAAAATGTTTTTTCATATTGCTGCAAATCTCCAAGCATATAAACAGACCTCACACAATTCAAACCCGTGTTGTTCACAGGTCACCACCTGTACTTATATATGTTAGAAGTTGGTCAATATTTTGTTTATCAGGAGAGAAAAGAAAATATAATTCATTTGCGTAGAAACTCTGAAGCATGTACAAGTTCAGTGACGAGTGTCCACCGGGAGTTCACTGCAGACAGGTTTCCGGCTCTGTGGGCAGTGCCTCGTGGCTAATCGAGTTGGCAAAGGTGGTTCTGCAGCAGTCCCCACCCTCTCACACACACAGAAGTAAAGTAAAAGGTATTGGTCAGGCATCTGTGAAGATTTGTGTGGGTTGTAAAAATGGGCTAATGCAGTATATGTGGGAGTTAAAGAATTCCTGAGTGAAGTCGCCTCTCTTCTTTCGGTAAAGCAGTAGCCCCTCTTCTAGTGCCTACGGGGACGTCACGGTTATGGGGTAGGCAGTATTACAGGCGAAAGAAGATAAGTGGCATCTTGAGAGAAGTCGCTGGGAGCAGGGGAGTTGTTTTATCCTGTAGGGGAGACCTGCGCGTGTTTGTGAGCAGGAGGAAAGCCTGAACACGCGAGGGTCCGCGACCTGAGTGGAGGCGGGTGTGCACGAAGAAGGTCACACAGATCTCCGAAAAGGCAGTATTATAAAGAAATATTTTGAAGTTGAAAGACGAGTCCAACCTGGTCTCAATTTCAGAAAAATGATTCAAGACAATTCATACGTTATAAAACCTACACGTTCAGTAAACAAAACTCAGAAAATATGAATTGGTAGAGAGAAAAAGAAATAAAAAGTTGCCCATAATCCCATCAAAAAGACATAATACTGATGAGCTGCACAGTCTGGATGGTACCAGCCACAGGTGGCAGTTGAGCACTTGGAATGTGGCCACTACAACTGGCCTTTCTATTTTATTTTGTTAACTTACATTCGAACAGCCACATGGTACAGGGTAGAGCACATCACCTCACGTCCCATTGGACAGCGAGGCTCTCGACCACTTCCTGGGCTTTGAGGGCTGTTTGTTTTAATGTCGTTGTTATGGTGAGTGTCGTGTTTCCCAGTTGTATTTGTTATTAAGTGGCCATCCCTGCCCAGCACCAGTCTGTGGGAAGGCGCAGGCTTTCTGCAGCCTCCTCCTGAAATTCCTCTTGGACCCCTGCAGTTGCCCCACACTTCAGTGGATGCTGTTTACACCAGTTTTCCCCCCTCTCCACTCCCACTAACTCCCCTTAGCTGGGCTCAGGTTTTTGGTCTGCAGAAGAATATCCTCTGGCCAGTGAGAGAAAGGGAAGGTTTCCCCTTGCTTCTCCACCAGCTGTGCCTTTACGCTTGGGGGCCCTGGGTGGTTGCAGGGTGCAGGACAAGCGAGCAGGCTCTCAGGATACGCCTGTGGGGGGCGGCAGATGGCGTGCCCACGGGGCCGGGAGCGGAGGGCCCCGACATGGCCCCGCTGCTGTCTGCTGTCCCTCCTCTTCTCACCCCACCTTCGGGTCTGACACCCTCCCCCCCTGTCACCCAGATGCATCCACTGTGGGGTCGTCCACCTGACCTTGGCCTTGTTGAAAAGCCACATCCAGGAGCGACACTGCCAGGTTTTCCACAAATGTGCTTTCTGCCCCATGGCCTTCAAGACTGCCAGCAGCACCGCGGACCACAGCACCACCCAGCACCCTGCCCAGCCCCACAGACCCTCCCAGTGAGTGCAGCTCTGGGGCCGGCAGACCTGGGCGGGGAGCCCGGGTGCTGTAGCGCGGGTATTGGGGTGGACCAGGCAGGGCTAGTGGCAGAGATCTCGGAGTTCACCGAAGACACCCTGAGGTGGGGAGCGTCTGTGGTGGCTCAGAGTAGTGCCTTCCCGGTCGTGGCCCTGGGGCAGGGGGCGCAGAGGTGGGGTGGGAGCTGTGGGGCTGCCGGCAGAGCTTGGGCCTCCTCACGCCCTGGGCTTGTCTCGTCAGGCTCATTTATAAGTGCTCATGTGAAATGGTGTTCAACAAGAAGAGGCACATTCAGCAGCATTTTTACCAGAATTCCAGCAAGACCCAGGTGGGCGTCTTCAAGTGCCCGGAGTGCCCACTCTTGTTCCTGCAGAAGCCAGAACTGATGCAGCACGTCAAGGTGGGATGCCTCTGGGACGGAGGCTGGGAGGAGGGCACGTGCCTCAGGCCGGGGGTCTGACTCTGTGCATCTTTCCCCTTGCCCAGTCAGTAATCGCTCTCCCCATCCCCAGAGCACCCACGGTGTTCCCCGAAATGTGGACGAGCTGTCCAGCCTCCAGTCCTCAGCAGACGCCTCCTCAGGCCGTCCTGGCGCTCGAGTCCCCACTGAGCCCCCAGCCACTAGCATGGCTGCTCGGGGCAGCTCCCTACCCTCCAGCCGCTGGAGCAGGCCTGAGGCCCATCGCAGGGCTGAGGCCAGGCCCCGGCTGAGGAACACTGGCTGGACCTGCCAGGAGTGCCAGGAGTGGGTTCCTGATCGGGAGAACTATGTGTCGCACATGAAAAAAAGCCACGGTAGGGTAAGTAGTCACATGGTCACCGTGCACATTTGCTGGACTTCTGTCCATTGGGGTCAGAGTGCCCTTGTCCCTGGTGCTTTGGGCAGGACGGGCATCATAGATCTTGAGGTCTTTGGAGCATCCTCATTTCTGCCCCCATCATCTGAGTGGACACATGCGCCCAGGGCTGTCTTAGAGTTCTGATGCTTTGCACCCTGCCCTCTCTCATAGACGCTGAAGCGGTACCCGTGCCGGCAGTGCGAGCAGTCCTTCCACACCCCCAACAGCCTGCGCAAACACATCCGTAACAACCACGACACAGTGAAGAAAGTCTACACTTGCGGGTGAGCCCCTGCGGGGGGTGGCGGAGGCCTGCTAGTCAGAAAGAGTGTCCTGGGCACCCCTGGGGCTTTCCTCTGACAAGAGCAGTGTTGTCAAAGGGAGACATAAGCAAGCACTCAGTGGAAAAATGCTGTGGCAAGCTCAGAAATCAAGTTAAGTCAGAAACCAGCTTCTAGAACCTCGTAGCTCCTGAGCCCTCCCACCTCCCTGATGCCGGGCTGCACTGCCAGCTGGTAGCGTAGGCTGTGAGGGGGTTCATGGGGCTGTGAGCCTGTGCCCCGTCTGGCCAAGAAGCTTCACCATCTGTCCACGCTCCAGGATGTACCTGGCCTCTGACTCTGACCATCGGCCCAGCGCTGGGGCCTCGGGCAGCGGCAGCAGGGAGTGGAGAGCGAGATCACGGCTCAGGGCCCGCGTGGCTCTGCGGCCTTGCTCTTGTCCACCACCTTGGCGGGCTGCTGGCTAGACTTCCCGGTGCCACACAGCTTGTCCAGGGACCATGCAGCCGGTTACCTGCCTGCTCCAGACTCAGCTGCGGAGCCGGAAGCAGCTTCCATCCCCACCCGCCTGACTCCCTGGGCTCTGGAGCCTGCCTTCTCACGCCATCTCTTGTACCCGTGTTTCTGCAGATATTGCACAGAGGACAGCCCCAGCTTTCCTCGGCCCTCCCTCCTGGAGAGCCACATCAGCCTTATGCACGGCATCAGAAACCCTGACTTGAGCCAGACATCCAAAGGCAGACCCCCGGGTGGACGTTCCCCTCAGGTGAGCAGGGGCCCTTGTGCACTGGGCGGCTTGCCCAGGAGCCCTGGAGCTGGAGGAGAGGTGGGAGGGCCACAGGGAGCCCATTTGTGATTGTGGTCGTGGAGCAACCAGCGGTGATAGCTTTGTTCGATGTGTGGCACTGTTTAGCTCTGTTTGACTCCCCTGGGGACTGCACACAGTAAGGGACAGGGACAAAGACCCGCGACTCCCTTCCTTAGCTGTGTGCCTTGCTGTGTGGATATTGGGGTGCTTCCAGACACACAGCAGGGCAGCCGGGGCTGTCTGTCGCTGAAGGTTGGGGTGCCCAGCTGAGTCGCCGCCCCGACCACCAGCTAGTTGTGGGAGGAGCCACCCTGAGCCCTGCTGTCCTAGGCCCTTGTCCTGCGATTCATCCCTGTTCCATGCCCTGTTCCCATTTCTGGAGAACTTCTGGAGCAGTCTGATTGTCCCTCATGGTGGGCAATTCCCATTCCACAGTAGGGGGCTGCTCTTCAAGGTGGTCAGACACATCTGGGGAACTCTGAGAGTTGCCTGGAAAAGGGGACTAGCCCTGACTGTGAAAAATGGCCCAGGGCATTCTTTCCGGGCCGCTCAGAGAAGGGCGCTTGTCCTTTCACACACAGCTGGTTGAGTGTCAACTGACATTTTGGCAACATCTGTCATGATAAAAATGCCACCCCCCCTCCAAACATACCCTTCCATCCAGCAGCTGTTTCTAGGATTTGTCCATTGGGTATGTCTGGCCTTGGGCTCAAGGCAGCACCGTGTGCCGTGGCAGAGATGGCCTTGCAGTGGGAGTGGAATCCCCGTGGTGGGTCAGAGGACACCCCTGGGCATGCTGTTATGGGGACCAGTGCCATGTGTGGTGTTAAGTGAAAGAAGCAGGGTGAAGAAAAGTGTGCCTGTAATGCTATCATTTTGTGAAAGACAACAGTTAAGTTTTTATATATGCATCGAGTCTCTCGGAGGAGCCACAGAACCCAGGTGGTGTCTGGAGAGCAGGTCTGGGGAGTGGGGCAGGAGAGACTTTATCTCCACACCCTCTTGCATCTGGAATATTGTGCCACATGCATTTGCTATGTTACAAAAACAAAGCCAGAAAAAAGCCCCAAACAAAACAAACCGAAGCCAGCGTTCAGGGCTGGGGTGCCCCTGGCTTGGGTGCTGATTCTGAGTCCTCGTCTGGGGCTCGGGCTCGGCCCAGACTCTGCTCACACAGTCTCCCCTTTCAGGTGAACCATCTGAAAAGACCAGTCAGCGGAGCGGGGGACGCTCCGGGCACCAGCAATGGCGCGACTGTCTCTTCCACCAAAAGGCACAGGTCCCTTTTCCAGTGTGCGAAATGTAGCTTTGCCACAGACTCAGGGCTCGAGTTTCAGAGCCACATACCTCAGCACCAGGCGGACAGCTCCACAGCCCAGTGTCTCCTCTGTGGCCTGTGCTACACCTCTGCCGGCTCCCTCAGTCGCCACCTCTTCATCGTCCACAAGGTGAGAGACCAGGACGAGGAGGCGGCGGCAGTGGAGGCGACAGAGCCGGAGGAGGGCTCCGGGGAGGAGGTGTCCTTGGAGGCCAGGGAGAATGGACTTGAAGACGGTGCCGGCGAGCCTTTGCTGGTCAGCCTGGAGGCGAGGAGATCGCTGGGCCCGGCCTCACGGGAGGAGAGGGCCCAGGATCCCCAGAGTCACCCGCAGGCCTCTCAGGACCAGGACAGCCGTGCACTGTCCCCTCAGGTGTGACTGACTGGAGGCTCCACAGTGTGTGCGGTCGCCACCGGGTGTCCTCCACCTGCCGTGTGGACCGTGGGAAGTGAAAAGCTCTGCCCCAGGGGAGCGTGGCGGCTGTGCCCTGGAGCGGTGTCTGCTGAGCCCAGGACGCGCGGGGGCCCCGGGACCCCTGCAGCGCTGAACCTGCTTCTGTTATTTATGATTCGTGCTGCTTCTTGGTGCCCCAACTCGCGTCTGTGCCCTCCTAGCCCAGGGCTGTCCATGGGGCTTGAAACTCCGCCAGGCCTGCTCTTCTGGGAGGTCCCTCCTGCTGCCTGCAGCCTGGGGTGCCTCAGAGCTCTGGGCCTGCCAGCAGCCCTGCGCCCTGCCACGCGGGCCCGAGGAGGGGCCTGAGGCGCCGGTGCCGCCCCCGGTGAGCGCTCTGCCTGGCGTGGCTCCCCTGGCCTTTCCTTCCTGTCTCCTCTGATTCTTTTCCCTAAAAAAGAGTCCTGGAGAATTAATTCTCACACCGGCTCACCCAGGCTGTGGGCGGAGACACTTCGGCAGCACCCGCCGTCTGGGTGAGCAGGAGAGGCGGGCAGGTGCCTGGAGGCAGACCCTTCAGAAGGAGCTGTGAGCCCCGCGCTGCTGCTCTGCCTCTCCTGACAGGTGGGGCTTGGGGTGCACAGACATGGGAAGATTTGTATTCTTGCTCCTGTGCCATTAGAGAGGCTGCTGCCCCATGCAGGCCAGCCCCTCCTCCTCGGCTATACTAATGTTGCTCAGACTATATTTCAAATAAAAAATCTTCTTACCACGCAGGTAGGCTCTTGTATTCCTCTTCTGGTGAGCCTGGCCCTGCCCTGCCCCACCTGGGGGTCTTTTCCAGCTCCCCTCATTGTCCCGTCTCCTGCCGTCCGAGGAAGTTGCATCTGGGTTCTGGAGCTGTGTCGGGAAGCCAGGAGCTCCCAGCTTGTTCGTTCTCCAGAGACCTCCTGAAGGGTGAGGGGGCCCTTATAGATGGTCAGGCCATCTCCCAGGTCTCCCCTGGGCTAGCAGCACCCGCTTAATTTTCTGGGCACCTCCACCTTTCCTATAAATGGGTTTTCAACCTAGGAGAACCCTTTGCTGGTTGCACGGCCTGGGAGGGATCGAGGCGAGGAACTCTGTAACGCCCTGGTGCTCATCAGAGGCCTTGGTGTCCCCGCTGCCAAGGGCCCTCTGGGTGGCAGAACTGGGGGTAGATGTGGGAGGTTGGACTCTTCCCTGACGGCAGAGTTGGGGCCCGGCCCAGGGCTGGGAGCAGGCTGTGGGGCGTGCCTGCTGACCTCTGACCCAAGTGGCTGCTGCAGCCCTGCATGATCTTGTGCCACAAAGGGAAGTGGGTCCTCGCTGAGTTCTTAGAGGTGCTCTTTCAAGGGAAGTTTTGAATATCAATTATAAATTATTAAGTCAGATAAATATGCCCGACCTTTTCACAGTTGGAAAAAAAAAATGCTTTCTTCATCAAATGCCAGCTTTTGCGGTGCAGATGCTCAGGGCATTGGCGTGCTTGCCTCAGTTTCAGAGCGGCCTTGCTCTTTAATGATGGCTGTGCCCAGCAAGGCCAAGTCCCTGCTGCCCGAGTGGGGACCACAGCTGGGCCTGATTCCAGCTGCCTGCAAAGCCAGAGCTAGCCCCGACTTACCTGTCACCCCTTTCCTGATTGCAGTTGCAGGGTGTCCACCTTGGGCCCAGGACCATTCAGAGGAGCAGGTTATAGAGGAGGCTGACAGGAGGTCTTGAAATGGAAGGCTGCACCTCTTCCTGCTCAGAAACGGTGGGAGCCGCAGTCAGGGGAGAGGAGGCGGTGAAATCCACCCATCCTGGCTCCAGATCCATCTCTCCTGGGAATGGTGTGGAGTGGAAGGAATGCCAAGCCGCTCAGCAGGAAGCCTGGGTCACAGCCTGGGTTCTGCCCTTAGCCAGCTCTTAACAGCCCCGAACTTCACTGGCCCCTCCCATTCAAAACAGACCTAGGAATTCCCAGGCAGCTTGCTTCTCCGGTTTTTGCGAGAGGGTGAGTGTGGAAGCATTTTCTGGTTTAAGAAGCACTGTACATGTGAGGGTTTCTTGACTTGACCTTGGGGCATGGAGGGTGGGGTGCGCCTCACCTGCTTCTCACTTGGATGCTGGCCATCACTTAGGATTGGCCCGGCACCCACCCGCCATTTAGGAATAGCGACCATAATAGCCGTTGGCCCTGCTCTCACGCCCAGCATCGTACTAAACACTTCCCAGTGATTCCTGAGCCCTCACAGTGATCTCATAGTTTTCTGTCCTCCATTTCACGGAGAAGGAAGCCAAGACTCAGAAGGGTAAATAACTTGCTGGGCTCCCAGTAATGGTCCTGAGTCAAGCCTGTCTGGCCCCAAATTCTGTAACGTCAGCCACTGTGTGCCTTAGTGACCCAACTGCTTTGGCTGGCTGCCGGTGTGTCAGCAGTTTGCAGCCATCCAGACATCCCCATTTCTACCTTCCCTGGGGCTGGGGGGCCTCCCTGAGTGCCGGGTTCCCTTTGGAGTCAGTCTGTACCTCGTCACTCCAAGGAGAGCCCTGCACATCACATTTGCTGGTGACATCCCGAAACACACAGTTCTCATGACCTTCCCTTCTCACTGGGGTTTATCTTGCCATTAGAAGGCCATCATTTTGAGGGGCCATCCCAGAAAAGGTTGCCCAGCCCTCAGAGGGAACATGGTTCCCTGGGGGCCTAGTATCTTCTGATATGGTTCCATCCTTGTAAAGATGCTTTTTAATGGTCCTGCTATCATTTATTGATGTCGGAAAATGCTTGCTGTAACAAACACTTGTCTGTGCATTAGCTGGTGTGAATGCTTTACTCGTCAAGTTAAACAGATAAGATTCCCCACCTTTGTAGAAACTACAATTTAATACATTTCTAAGGCTTGATAAATGGCTAGTATTGATTTTCCAGCTGCTTTATCTCTGTAGAATGATATGCCGAATTACTATAAACTAATTGGTGTAGAAAGAAATGTTTCCTTAACTTATTTAAACAGTCTGTTTTTGAAAACTTTTAACAGTTGTGTCTCAGTAAGTTCAACGCACTTTGCCTTCCCCCAGACAGCCTCATTACCACTTTTAATTCCGCTCTGGGCGTACTTTCTTTTTACTTGTTTAAACCTTTTTTTTGTTTTGAAAAATTAATATATAATACATGCCAGACATCCAAACAGTACAAAAGGGTATCCAATGAAAAGTCAACTTCCCAGTGGAGGTCAGCCTTCAGTTCCGTAGCTATTAATCACTGTTACCTATATTTTGTGTACCTTTCTGAGCAATTCTATGCATTTACAAGTTTATAAATATGTATATATATATATATATATATATATATATTTTAATACAAATGGTAGCATTCTATATACAGCGTTCTAAAGCTTGCTTTTTTTCCACTTACATAATGGAGGTTTTTCCAAATTTATCCAGTGGGTTAGTCTAATTCTTTAAAAGTTCCTAGCACAGTTCCTTGTGGATAATAGTGGTTCAAAGAGCATTTGAATGAGTGAATGGATGCATGCATGCATGAATGAAAGAGCCCAATTTTTCTTGTAGCTACAGAGTTCTCCCAGGGTCTGATCTGAGCAAGATAGCATTTTCTAAATTATAGAACAAGTCCCCCTGTCTTTCCCAGAGATCCAGGCCATTGCTCACCTTCACCAACAGATGCCACAGCAGACTTAGGAACCAAGCATGGGGAGCCCCTAGATGATGGGATTTTTTTGAGGTCCTTATTTAAAATGCCTTTTTCTTATTGGAAAATGATACAGCATTATTAGAGAGAAAAAATGCGTATTTATAAACCCATGTTACCTCTGCAGTTTTCATTTGTGCTTACTGCTTTCCAGTCTTTTCTAAATGCTTTTTCAATTGAACTCTCTGTTCAGTTCATAGCTGAATTTGTGTAATTATGATCATAATGGAAGTTAACATTGAACATTTCTATATGACAGACAGTATTCTCACATGTCTTCTCTCATCTAGCCCTGTAACAGTCCTGTGAGCCAGGTACTGCTGTTACTCTTCTGGAGGTTCAGAGTGGTGTAATTTCCCCAAAGCCACAGAGCTGCTAAGGAGCGGAACTTGGATTCCCTAGGTGTGACTAGCACTCTGATTTTTTTCTACTTAATATTATATCTGAACATTTTCCATGTTTTTATATAGCCTTTAAATCATCATTTTCAGTAGTGGTAATCATTTGCAAATCAACATAATTTACTTACCCGTTTCCTGTTTAATATTCAAATTCCCACTAAATCAGTGCAGAGAAGAGTGCTGGCCATACAGCTTTTTGCTTCTGCAGAATTATTTCCTCAGGAGCTTACCCCTATTTTTCTCGACTAAACTCAGTGGCAATGTGATGGAAGAAGAAAGCCAGTGACTAGAATGTACAAGCCCCCAGATTCCAGTCTGGGCTCTGTAACTGTTACTTGGTTGTTTTTGACCTCAGCTCTCACATCTGTCAAAGGAGGTCAGTGGGGAGGGGTGCACTTAGTTTAAATCTCTGGGGATCTTGAACCTGACTAGATTTTATCTTCTTCTTGTATATGATTATATCAGAATAGAGGAGACTTTCCCAAAGGCAAGAACTGTTACTGAATTTTTATTTTATTTTTTTATAAGGTATCATTGATAAACAATGTTATGAAGGTTTCATATGAGCAACATTGTGGTTACTACATTCACCCATGTTATCAAGTCCCCCTGCCTAGCCCATTGCAGCCACTGTCCATCAGCAAAGTAAGATGCTATAGAGTCTCTACTTGTCTTCTCCATGCTATATACTGCCTTCCCCATGACTCACCTACATTATGTGTGCTGATCATAATGCCCCTTAATCCTCTTCTCCCTCCCCACCCCCTCCCCTTTGTAACCACTAGTCCCTTCTTGGAGTCTGTGAGTCTGCTGCTGTTTTATTCCTTCAGTTTTGCTTTATTATACTCCACAAATGACTGAAATTATTTGGTGCTTGTCTTTCTCCGCCTGGCTTATTTCACTGAGCATAATACCCTCCAGCTCCATCCATGTTGTTCCAAATGGTAGGATTTGTTTTCTTCTTATGGCTGAATAGTATTCCATTGTGTATATGTACCACATCTTCTTATCCATTCATCTACTGATGGACACTTAGGTTGCTTCAATTTCTTGGCTATTTTAAATAGTGCTGTGATAAACATAGGGGTGCATATGTCTTTTTGAATCTGGGATCTTGTTTTCTTTGGGTAAATTCCTGGGAGTGGAATTTGTGGGTCAAATGGTATTTCTATTTTTAGTTTTCTGAGGAACCTCCATACTGCTTTCCACAATCGTTGAACTAATTTACATTCCCACCAACAGTGTAGAAGGGTTCCTTTCCCCCTCTTACTGAATTTCTTATTTTTGTTTTATTTATTTATTGGCTTCTAGCCTAGATATACAGAACATGGAATATATCTCTCCCACCCAGCCCCCTCCCTCCAGGATATCACTTTATCTGAACTTATTCATATTTCAGTATGGATCTGATTTATGCTTTTCCAGGAGCGTTCTGCCTCTTTTAGGAGGACCTGTTTCCTTTGGCTTTCATCACACCTTTCCAAGTTTGAACTACCTGTTCACTTGATAATCCAAAGTATCTTCAAACCCTTCTGTTACCCAGGTGTCTTTCCTTTAGGTGCCTGGGTCCAGATGAATCCTTGGACTCTGCCTCACTGTATCATGCACTGACCTTTTAAAGTAGTCTTCTTTTTAATACTACTTACTATTTTCAAATCAAAAT